ATGCAGTCAATTTCATTCATAGAGCTTGGCAAAAAGTTAGCCGAAAAACCATTGCAAATTGCTTTAAGCATGGGGGATTTGTAAGAAAAGAAAATCATTATGAACCAGACGATGAAATTCCACTTAACGAATGGTTAGAAGTATAAAGACGAGTATGACACAGACGAAGATGTCCCAATGTTGTCGAAGAACAAGTTAAAACCAAATTGAGTGATTTCAAGTTCTTACAAGAGAAATGTTGACCGATGAGCAAATTATAGACTCCGCAACCTCGTCTACAGCTTTAAGCGATAATGAGAAAGATGACGATTTAAGTTGAAGTTCCTAATCATATCTGGGAGTCCTTTTGTGATCTTGAAAACTACATAAATAACATCTATTTTTGCAGCAGAAATGTACAAACAAAAATTACAGACTGTATGAAGTAGATTTCAAATTGAACTTTGTTTATCTTTTTGTGTTCTTTTTAGTCATACCTACTAACTTCTACTACTCTATGTAAAAATAACGAAATACAATACACCACGTGTTTTTGTATTATTATTCGCTTATAGCGAACTCCGGATATAACGAAACAGTTTTAGTTCATTTTTCAAGTTCGTTATATCCGGACTCAACTGTATTTCTAAGTAGGACTTTAACTGCTATCAATTTATGACTGCACAAAAATTTTTGTTGGCAATTGAGCTTCTGCGAAGCTTAATTTTTTTGTAGGATACTGACGATTCGGCGAAAATGCTTGATATAAATAAAACGCCACAATTAATTAAGCTTGGCCACATCGCTTTGATATGTAATTTGAAATTTAGGGAACTATATTAAATACGAAAGTTGTGGATATTAAGGTTTAGTTTATTCTAAGATCAATTTAGTTGTTACAAGACGTCTCAAAGGCAAGTGGCATAACAAACTGATATTTTTTAACTGAAATGCCAATCGATACAATTCTTCCATGAAAATGGGTATAATTTATAAAAAACTGGTTTTTGACTCAAGAGCCTGTGCAAATGATACTGTGATTTAAATTTGCTATAGTCGCAGTCCATATGAAAACAAAAATTGATGATGGTTTCAAAGAAACGAAACGTTGTAGTAAATTTCATACGCACCATCTTCCCAAAACCCTTCTGGGAATATGACAATACAACCCTTCAACACCCGATTTATTACGTTTGAAAATTATCATTTTTGCCAGTCTCAAAGGAGCAAATTGCTAACCGATTATTAATTATTAACGATTAAACTAATTTATCTTTAACGATGCATCTATAAACCATTAGTACCTTGTTACATTATAGAAAAATCTTTTTATTTCAAAAATATTGCTTCTGTTAGTAGAAAATCCATATTTGTGCGGTTCGAAAAACCAACTTTTCTCTTTTGAATGCCGGTTATTGCAAATGGTTAAATTTGTTTGGATGATGCTATTTTGTTAAGAGCCAGTTGCGTTTCATAGAAACTGTTGTTTTGAAAATTTTCGGAAAAATACTCTATGAGGAGGCACTAAATTCGAATTTTTTAGGTTTGCACCGCCGACGTTGTCTGATTTATTCAATTAATTTTAGCAAATTTTTGTCTATGAAAGTTCAAAATTCTGCCAACTTTCCTGAAGGTGGCAACAAATATCGATATTCTAGTACTTTGTAGCAACCACTTTTATCTCTGCAATTCTGGTCACGCCATATTGGTTTGTGTTTTGGTGAGGCATGTTTCTTAAGGGATATTTTGGGCAAACTGCTGGGTTTGAAAAAATTTGAAAAGATTCTCTTCTGCAGCGCCAGCATTGGTCAATTGATTGGTAAACTCGGGAAATCCTCATGTGTGCGAGTTTGGAAGAATCGAATTTAGAATATATGAAGCCACGAGGCAGGAGATGCTTTGCTATTTTCAATAAATGTGCGCATACTTTAATTTTTCTGCGAAATTTCTTGTTGGTAGCAGCAAATGAAAACCTTTGATGTTTGTCAGCGCATTTTGTCTTTTTAATGTCGGTCTCGGCAAGTCAATGTAAATTTATGTTCATCAATAAGTTTTGTTAAAGGGCCTTGGTATTTAAACAAAATCGCCTTACTTGAGAATTTTCCAAAATATTCCCAGACGAATGCAAGTTTGAAATTTTGTCTATGTAGGAGGTACTAGAATAAACTGCAAATTGCCATTTCTCCTAGTTGAGAAATCACGATTTTTATTGATTCATGACGGAGCGAGGATTCACGATGCTTCGTTACATAGAAGAAAATAAACACGATTTTTTTAAGGTTCTTGAAAATTTGCAAACTTAGCAAATCGAGACTTTGTATTTCATGTTTTTTGAAAATTTCCAAAAGCACAATGGAGGTGATGAAAATTTGAAACTTCTATAAATCATCTGTTACACCAAATTTATCTGATTTATTGCTTAACTTACAATTTTCAATCTCTGCTGTTTGCTAGAACCGATTTTTTCACAGATTCAGACAGTTGTTTGTGTTGAGGAGAAATGGCGGGATTTGAAACAATTCTCAAAATCTCGTGTTGTTAGCAGCAATTCGATTTTATCACGGATTGTAAAGCAATCCTTTCTCTGTTCAAAGCCGAATGAGACATCACGTCAATATATCGTTTTGTTTAGAAGAGGCATATTTGGTAAAAGACTTTTGCGCCTTAAGCAAAACAACTTCACTTAAAAATGTGAGCAGATATTCTCTAAGGTTTTAAATATAAATCCTGCATGTTTAAAATTTTCTAGTTTTGCTGTACCAACAGTGCCTGATTTAGTAATAAATTTTATAAATTGTTATCTAGGTATATCAGTTGGGAAGACCGAAATTTTCAGGTTATTTATTCACGATTGCGTTATTAAAGCAAAATGCTCTCATTTGCAAAATTATTTAAGCTTTGCTATTTTGGTTAGCAAATCGATCATTTTGCGCTTTGTAAAACCTTTTAAAGCTTTTGTCTTTTAAATTCCAGCAACCGCCAATCAATTTTTTGCTGAGGCGAGGAATTTTTGCTAAGACACACTTGAGACTTGGTCAAAAATGGTAAATTTGAAAATTTTCTCGGATGTATCCTGTGGAGGAGGCGAATTCAACACTCTCCATTATGCAGCAGTAGCATTGGCCGATCTCTAAATGAACTGTGCAAATCGTAATCCGTTCCAGATTAAACAAAACGAATTTTTAACTGATTTGTGGTTTATTTTGTTAGTAAATCCAAACTTGTGCGTTTCGTAAAACCAACTTTTGTCTTTGAAATTCCAGTTTCTGCAAATCATTTTTTCTTCCTTATGCAAGGAATTTTTGATAAGACTCTTGAGACTTGCTCAAGAATGCTAAATTTGAAAATTTTCTCGGAGTTATTCGGAGGAAGATGCAAATTCAACACTCTCCATGCTAGAGCGCCTGCATTGTCCGATCTCTCAATGAACTTTGTAAATTGTAATCTCTTCTTGTTTGGATGTAACGAAATTTTAACTGATTGGTTGGTTATTTTGTTATATTGAGAGAAAAAGCGTGTATTTGAAAAATTTCGCAAGCTTTTCTGCCGGTTACAGAATATCCACACTTTTGTGATTGAGCAATCCAAGTTTCGTGTTTTCAATGCCGGTCTCGGCGGGTCAATTTGTTTATTGGTTTAGACGCAAACATTTTATTAATAGACATTTGCAATTTTAGTAAAATTGCTTTAGTTTAAAAATTTCCGAAAAATACCCTGAAACAGATGCGAGTTTTTAAGTTTTTACCTCTATAGCACTAATATGGCTCGACTTATTGGCAAACTCCTCGAAACGTTTCGAAAAAATGTTTTTTTACTTACGAACGTTGCTTTGTTCTTTTTAGCAAAAATAGGCAAATTTTAACTTAAAAAGAAACTAACTTTCCCTTTTTCAAAGCCGGCCGTTGCAAGTCAGTCTAGTTTTATTAGGAACATTTTTGTTAAGAGGCACTTGCAATTGACGCAAAACTTCTTGATTCTAAAACTTTACAAAAGTTCCCCGAAGGGGATGCAAATTCGAAACTTTTCATGCCTGCGGCGCCCACATTGACTGATTTATTAGTAAATTTTGCAAGCCGTATCGGCCAGTTTGGACAAAACTAATTTTTAATAGATTTGTGCGTTGCTTTGTTATATTAGTGAAAACCCTTAGTTCCTATCTATGGTAGCAAATTGACAATTTA